TGAGATTAATTATGTTTGGCTAGTGGAATAGTAGGAGTGTTTGGCAAGAAGGATGTTTGGTTAGAAGGATAGTAAGACTGATTATTAGAAGATTTTAATTATTTAAAAAAGTTGAGAAAAAATTACGTTCTAATGCTTCTCCTTTTAATATATAGAGGATATTACCATTTTCCCAATAAAACGATCATAAATCTTTATATATGTGTGCGTTTAAGTCTTTAAGATTTTTTAAAGCAGAGAAGTATATAACCATACAAACAAAATCCACAATTTTGTCTGTAAACAGAGATAATCATTTGTTTAGCTCAATTACAATCAAACAAGCACGCAAAAAACTTATTTAAGAAAATCTGCAGAAAAAATAACACATTTAGCTATCAAATAATTGATCTCAGTTTCCATTTATGTGAAAGGGTAAAAGCGAAGCGTATGCACTACCAGAAAATTTTCATTAGCCTTTCTTGACTTCCTTTTCCTGTGATAACGCCATTTTTAACAACTGTGATCACGTTTGCATTCTTGATGATATAGTGAGCAACCACTATTGTGGTTTGGTTCACCATCACTTGCTCAAGTGCGTTCTGAGTCATTCGCTCATACTCTCTTTCCAACACGCTAATTGCTTCATGGAGCAAAAAAATCTTAGGAGTTTTAGAATAACATTAGTAATCACGATTCGCTGCTTTTGACGACTTGATAATTGAAGGTCGCGTTCCCAAACAAACGTTTATTATCCTTGAGGTAATGAGCTAATGAAGTTATGGCATTGGTTTTTTTGCTACGGCTATGATGTTTTCCTCAGTGAATCCTCTGGTTTTACCGTAGACTATGTTTGATCTAATTGTCTCATTGAACAGAATCGGTTCTTGGCTAACAAAACTCATTTATTGTCTAACCAACTTAATTTGAATGTTTGAATATCGATTTGATCTAGAAGTATCTTGTGTGAATCCGAATCATAAAATCTTTTAGTCAAACTTATCAAAGTCGATTTCCCACTTCCGCTCTCTCCGGCCAATACAACAATCTAAACACATAAACACATAGAAAGCCTTTATTTTTGTTTTGAATTTACCTTGCCGGAGGGGATAGTTAAGCATAAGTCATGGAAAATCGGAGCGTTTGGTGTTGTCAGATAACATAAACTAACATGTTGGAACTCAACCTCTCCTTTAACGTTATCTAACGTTGTCCCTTCATTTGATTTCGAGTCGATCTTCGGTTTACTATCAAGAATATCAAAAATGAAAGTTGGAGAGTCTTTAGCTTTGGTTGTGTCAGACGCCACTACACTCATTTGCAACATGCCTACTGCGATGTCAGGTAATGCAAAAGAAAACCTCCAACATAAATCATTCAAAAAAAGCCATTACTTTTTTTTTTTTTAATTGAATGTAAAATTTATTCAAAAAGAAAAAAAAAACAGTTTTGCAACTGATGTGGCTTTGTTTGAGTTTCTGGAAATTGAGAACTTAATATGGTTAAAAAATCATAGGAAGAAACAAAAGCTTCATCTTGTACCAAACCACCATGCTGTCGGCGTACTTCGAGTCGCACCAACGAACGAAGGAGATTCT